TTATTAAACCAAATATAAATTACTTCGTTATTGTACCTAAATTAAATTATAATAAAAAATTGAATTAAAAAATTACACAAAAAATGAGAAATTTTAAATAGTTAATTTGATACGAATATCTATATATTTTTGTTATGCATAAAGTACTGTATATTTATGCATATTACTTAAAATTCAAAATTACAAGTAATTATGCATAAGTACAATTTATTAAAGCTCGATGTTTGAATTCGTATAAATAATTGCGGATAAACATAATCAAATAGAGAATGAACATCTCATTTTAAAATATAAAAAATCTAAAATATAATTAGAATAATTATCGAGTTCCAACAAAAATAAATAATTATTATCTTTATAAAAAAATTATATTATTAAATCAAATATAAATTACTTCGTTATTGTACATAAGTTAAATTATAAATAGTTAATTTGATACTAATATCGATATATTTTTGTCAAATTTTTATGATATCTTCAAACATATATTTTATTCAAAAATAAAAACATCACCGTTTTCTCAAAATCACATAAAGCCATATTATAACATTGACTAAGATAAAAAATAAAATGAAATATTAAAATCACGATGTATCTCGCTGCATTGCGCGAGTATGCTTCTAGTATATATATATATATATATATATATATGTTTATGAATACGTTTTATTATAAATACGTTTAAGAATATACTTTAAAAATACGGGTCACTCAAATACATTTTAAAAATACGTTTTATTATAATTAAAGTTACATTGTTTTACAAAAATAAAACTATAAAATTATTTGAAAATACATTTATTTATCAATCTTCATCGGTATCCCATGTCGGATTGACTTGAAGAGTTCCGGTATCTTGAATTCTTATAATAGCCTCTTGGTCTTCAAGGTCATCAATGTCGAGTTCCTTATCATCGTCATATTGGGAGTAAGTGCTTTCGGTATCTGTAGTTGGTGGCGTGCTTAGTCCCATGGAGATTTCATTTTCTTCCAGATTTTCTTCCACCGTTTCAATCTCCATCTCTAACGATGTCGTGTGTTGAATCCTATCAACGCTATCCAAATAATCCTTCAAGCAAATGCAACACTCCACGGACTCCGGGCTTAGTCTTGTCCGACGTATCGAAATGATCCTGCCACTAAAAAAAAAACAAACTCCGAAGCTACGGTACTAGCTTGGATTGTTAGTACATCACGTGCGATGTACGCCAAAATCGGGAATTGAGGTTGTCTTTGTTTCCAAAAATCTAATAAATCATTTTTTTCAAAATCTTCGACATCATTTGCGGGATATGCGGCCATAAAGTTAGTATGCACATACATATTTAACTCACACAAATCGTTATCATATCGACTTTTTTTACTTGATTCATTTAAAACCTCGTTCATTAAATTAGTTATCAACTCTTTACGACTTTGTCGATAACCACTAGAAGAACTAGAACCCGCAAAACCACGTGAGGAAGGTGTTTGTGGTTGGTTTCCTCCTCCGTAAAAATGTTTGTAATGATCAAATAAATCTTGAAAATTGCGATTAAATAAACGTTTTTGTTCTATTGAAAAAAAATTATCCGTAGCGGTATCCAAATCAAAAGCCACACATATTTGTGTAATTAAAACTTCAACACCAATAATATTTAAATACGAGTTTAACGTCGCAGCACAAAGAAAAGCAAATGGGATGCCCATAAAATATTTTAACAATTTTTTTTTCATGCAAGACATCAATCTTCCCCAATCGTGATGGTGTTCATATTAGACAATTTTACTTGCCAAAATATAGATTTGGTTTAAAACTAAAGGGCTTGTTTGATAATAAATTCTCGATAAAAGTGTTGTCGCATTTTTAAAATCGTCTAAAATATCGTACAATCCTTCAAGCACGGCTCAATCAAGATTTCTAATAGAGTTTTGCGGGTAATGGTGTCTATAAAAAGCAAAAATATAATTTTTTTGTTTTAATAAATTTTCAATCATAAAATATGTCAATTTTCAACGAACGGACATATCGAACCTCGGTCCCAAAGCTCTAAAACCGACGTCCTCGCAATACTTTATATAGGCCGCATGCATTTTTTTTATCTTTTATGAAAATTCGCCGCAATATAAGTCTAAACTTATATATTACGGGTTTACAAGTATTTAAACCGTCTTGAACGGCTAAATTTATTATATGTGCACAACAACGTATATGAAATAATTTATCGTCTAAAATAGGTGTCAAATGACACTTTAATTTTCCACACAAAAATTGTTATTACTAGCGTTATCAAATGAAATACTAATTATTTTAACAGTTAAATTGTAAAATGCAAGAGTTTTTTTAATAATCGAAAACTGACGTGCACCCAAATGTGTCACACCAAATGGTTCAAACGCGATTACACGTTTGAATAAATGTCATGTTGTAGGCTCAACCCAATGTGTCGTTATGCATATATACGAAACCGGCAATTCGTATGGTGCACTTCATACATCACACGTTAAAGAAATATTGTTAAGCAAAGCGGAAAAACATTTGTTGCATTTCGGACCGACACATTTTCCACATTTTTATAGCATCACGTCTAAGGGTTTGACGACTTACCAGCTTGTAACGTGGTTATAGCGTCTTTTGAATCATCTTCGTAACGGTGAGGGTTGTCGAAATGTCCGAAAGGCAAACCGACTTGAATGACACATTGTGTTGTCATTTGTCGGTTCGAATCGGCATCGTAGGACCATATTTGACATTGGGTGTCAAGTATTGGTTGGCTTGAATCGCCCCTCCCCCCCCCCCCCCCCCGACATCAACCCCGGGCACGTTTTTTGGTGTGCCTCCTTAATGTAGAATTTCTTTCCGCCCTAAGGAGAGCTTGACACAATTTGCATTGTGCCTTTCGTTTTCCGGTCGTGAGAACCACCAAGTTGTAGTGATTCCAAATCTCGGACTTTCGTCCGTGTTCATCGAAAACTTGGGCAACTTGTTCGTTTGATGGTTGTTCACCGGCCATTTTGTAAGTAAAAGAGAGAAAGAAACGAGAATTGTGAAATGGAAACGAGAAATTAATACGTAGCGAATTCACAAAATGGAGCGAAAACCCGAGAATTGAGAGTGTTTTTTGCCTTTTTGAAACTCTCATACATATTTATACTAATTTGGTAGCAATGAAAATTAAAAATCGTCCCTAACGGCTAGTTTGACTATCTCTAACGGCTATGTTGACTTCTAACGGCTAGTTTGACCGTTGACATTCGTTGACCGGACCGGGCCGGGCCGGTCCTATAACCGGTTCCATAACCGGTCCCGGTCCCGGTCTGTTTCGGTCCCAGAAAACGTCAAATACCATAACCGGATCATAAGCAACGGTCCCTCTCCGGTCCCGGTCCTCCGACGGTTACGGGCCCATCATTACTATATAATATAGTGATGGCCAAACCGGCCCCGCCTAGCCTGTCCCGGACCGTGGGAGGACCGGAACCGAGACCAGAGGCGGTTACGAACTGGTTACTGTTTTTGTCGTTTTCTGGGACCGAGACCGACCGGGACCGGTTATGGGACCGGCCCGGCCCGGCCAAAACTAGCAGTTTTTTTTTAAAATATAGCCGTTAGAGTTTGATTCCCTAGTCGTTTCTAGCCGTTTTTTTATTATTTTTTGTATCCAAAACACTGTAAACATACCAATTTTCTCTCTTCTTCAAAAACGCAAAAAAAAAACGTTCAAGATTCAATTCTCAGTTTCTCGCTATATTTTGTGAATTCAACTCGTATTAATTTCTCGTTTCCACTTTACAATTCTCATTTCTTTCTCGCTTTGTCTTGCAAAATGGTCAGTGAACAAGCATCAAACAAACAAGCTGCCCAAGTTCTTGCCGAACACGGACGAAAGTCCGAGATTTAAAATCACTACAACTTTGTAGTTCTCACGAACGGAAAAAGAAAGATACAATGCAAATTGTGTCCGGCGGAAGAAAATTCTACGTTAAGGAGGCACACCGAAAAAATGTGCCCGAGGTTGAGGTCGGGGAGGGGGGCGATTTAAGCTAACCGATACTTGACACTCAAGGTCAAATATGGTCGTATGATGCCGAGTTGAACCAACAAATGACAACACAATGTGTCATTCAAATCAGGTTGCCTTTCGGACATTTCGACAACCCTCACGTTACGAAGATGATTCAAAAGACGCTACAACCACGATACAAGCCGGTAAGTCGTCAAACCCTTAGACGTGATGCTATAAAAATGTGGAAAATGTGTCAGTCCGAAATGAAACAAATATTTTCCGCTTTGCCTAACAATATTTCTTTAACGTGTGATATATGGAGCGCACCATACGGATTGTCGGTTTCATATATATGCATAACGGCACATTGGGTTGAGCCTACAACATGACATTTATTCAAACGTGTAATCGCGTTTGAACCGTTTGGTGCGCCACATTCGGGTGCACGTCAGTTTTCGATTATTAAAAAAACTCTTGCATTTTATAATTTAACCGCTAAAATAATGTATTTCATTTGATAACGCTAATAATAACAATTCGTGTATGGAAAAATTAAAGTGTTATTTGACACCTATTTTAGACGGTAAATTATTTCATACACGTTGTTGTGCACGTATAATAAATTTAGCCGTTCAAGACGGTTTAAATATTTGTAAACCCATAATAGATAAGTTTAGACTTATGTTGCAGCGAATTTTCACAAAAGGTAAAAAAATGCATGCGGCCTATAGAAAATATTGCGAGGACGTCGGTTTTAGAGCTTTGGGACCGAGGTTCGATATGCCCGTTCGTTGGAACTCGACATATTTTATGATTGAAAATTTATTAAAACAAAAAAAAAATTATATTTTTGCTTTTTATAGACACTATTACCCGCAAAACTCTATTAAAAATCTTGATTGGGCCGTGCTTGAAGGATTATACGATATTTTAGGCTATTTTAAAAATGCGACAACACTTTTATCGGGAATTTATTATCCAACAAGCCCTTAGTTTTAAACCAAATCTATATTTTGGCATGCCCAATATGAAGACCATCATGATTGGAGAAGGTTGATGTCTTGCATGAAAAAAATTGTTAAAATATTTTATGAGCATCTTATTTGCTTTTTTTTTGTTGCGGCATTAAATCCGTATTTAAATATTTGTAATATAATACTATATAAAAATTATAGCATACTTGTTGAATATACTCTAGAGTATACACAACATACAAAAATATATCGGGCCAACCACAAGGGTTGTGGCATAATGGTTGAGGCCCTGGTGGATGGGCTGGAATATCCCATTTGTGCAGGGTTCGATTTCAAACGTACACAACAATTGTTGTCACTCAGTTTATCACGACTGATTTTTTAAAGTCAAAATGTACCAGAATTAGTCTGGGATATATAGTAGTAGTGATGGCCAAAAACCGATCCTGGGCGGGTCCCAATCAGGCCGTGACCATTTCTTAACCGGCCATAACCGGGTCTTTCTTAACCGGTCCCAGTCCCGATAATATTTAAATACAGGTTTAGCGCCGCAACACAAAGAAAAACAAATGAGATGCTCATAAAATATTTTAACAATTTCTTTTTCATTGAAGACATCAACCTTCCCCAATTGTGATGGTCTTCGTATTGGGCAATTTTACTTGCCAAAATATAGATTTGGTTTAAAACTAAATGGTTTGTTGGATAATAAATTCCGGATAGAAGTGTTGCCGCATTTTTAAAATCGCCTAAAATATTGTACAATCCTTCAAGCACGGCCCAATCATGATTTCCAATAGAATTTTGCGGGTAATGGTGTCTATAAAAAGCAAATATATAATTTTTTTGTTTTATCAAATTTTCAATCATAAAATAAGTCGAATTCCAACGAATAGGCATATCGAACCTCGGTCTCAAAGCTCTAAAACCAACGTCCTCACAATACTTTCTATATTTCACATTCATTTTTTTACTTTTCGTGAAAATTCGCTGCAACACAAGTCTAAACTTATGTATTACGGGTTTACAAGTATTTAAACCATCTTGAACGGCTAAATTTATTATGTGTGCATAACAACATGTATGAAATAATTACCGTCTAATATAGGTGTCAAATGACACTTTAATTTTTCCACACAAACATTGTTATTACTAGCGTTATCAAATGAAATACTAATTTTTTTAACAGTTAAATTATAAAATGCAAGACATTTTTTAATAAATTGAAAATTGATGTGCTCTCGAATATGGCGCACCCGGTTCAAACGCGATTACACGTTTGAATAAATGCCATGTTGTAGCCTCAACCCAATGTGTCGTTATGCATATATACGAAACTGGCAATCCGTATGGTGCGCTCCATACATCACACGTTAAAGAAATATTGTTAGGCAAAGCGGAAAAACATTTGTTGCATTTCGGACTGACACATTTTCCACATTTTTATAGCATCATGTCTAAGGGTTTGACGACTTACCGACTTGTATCGTGGTTGTAGCGTCTTTTGAATCAACTTCGTAACGCGAGAGCTGTCGAAATGTCCGAAAGGCAACCCACTTGAATGACACATTGTGTTGTCATTTATCGGTTCAACTCGCCATCATACGACCATATTTGACCTTCAGTGTCAAGTATCGGTTGGCTTGAATCGCCCCCCGACCTCAAGCCATGCACGTTTTTTCGGCGTGCCTCCTTAACTAGAATTTTTTCCGCCGTAAGGAGAGCTTGACACAATTTGCATTATGTCTTTCTTTTTCCGTTCATGAGAACCACCAAGTTGTAATTCCAAATCTCGGACTTTCGTCCGTGTTCAGCGAGAACTTGGGCAACTTATTCGTTTGATATTTGTTCACCAGCCATTTTGTAAGACAAAGAGAGAATGAAATGAGAATTGTAAAATGAAAACGAGATATTAATACGAGTCGAATTCACAAAATATAACGAGAAACCGAGAATTGTGAACGTTTTTTGCGTTTTTGAAGAAGAGAGAAAGTTGGCATGTTTACTTCTAAACTTGATACATATTTATAGTGTTTTGGATACAAAAAATACCAAAAAAAAGGGCTAGAAACGGCTACGGAATTAAACTCTAACGGCTAGTTTTGGCTGGGCCGGTTTGGGCCTATAGGCTTCTAATCATATCCAAATTGGTCGTGGGCTGTAACCCGTAACCGATGGCTAAGCCCAAACGATGACGTATTAACGTGCACTACCGGACCCGGTGACGCCGTAACGCCGTGAACGGTGGACTTCTGTGATCGACTTAATTAAATACATGAACAACCAACCAACACCATCTCCCCCAATCTTCTCACCGGAGAATAACCAACGCCGGCGAGATATTCAGATCCTACCTACTTTCTCTATTTCTCGGTACATTCCCGTTGGAAATTCTTTGGTTGTGTGTATCTTTCGGCGATGGTTTCTCCGGAGAACACGAATTGGATCTACGATTATGGATTGATTGATGATATTGCGGTTCCCGTTGGTAATCTCCTCACTCCGGCTTGTGTATCCAGTTGGCCCATGCAGGCTGCGTTGAATGGTTCAGCTTCTAACCCTTGGTATGTGTGTTTTCGTATTGGATTTAGTAATTGTATAATTGACCTAATTTGCTTGATCGAAATTGAGAGACTCGATCTAACGTTAAATATAGGGGTTTTCAGTTTTCGTGTGCCAGTGTTACACTTGGAAGAAATTTATGGTTCTTTTCGTTGTTTTAGGTTTAGCTTCTGCAATTGGTTATGCAATTTATTGAAATTATGCAAAGATATTGAAACGCGGATGGTGTCTTGATTTTAGATTGGAGGATTTAACAATTGATGTTCTTCATCAATGTTTTGATTCTAGTTTCATGAAGATCTTCTTGTTTAACTACTTTTTTCTTAGAACTTTTAGTATAGTTCTATGATGTTACTGGCTTGTGAAATCCGAAAGGCAGATTGGTATATTAAAATTATTCCTAATCTTCTTCATCCGAGTATTCGTTATTTTTTGATCTTTTTTTGAGTTTCTATCTGCTAATTGGGGAATTGGGATCCACTGGTTGAATTTAGAGCCTTGAGCTTAACGAGACTCACAGCTTATTTGGTCAGCTATACCAGACTGTTTGGTGGTGGCTTAATAGAAAGTGGTTTATTCAGTAAGCTCCTAAGAAAGCCAAGTTTTTTCCAAACCTGTTCCTCCCGGTTAAAAAACACGCTCCTTTCATCCATAAGAAACCCTTCCAAACAAAAATCTTCCCAGTCTACACAGACAGATTAATCCACACAGGACTTAATGGTAAACCAACCAAACAGCCCCTTGGATATTTACGCCTACTCATACTGTTTTCTCTTTCACTTTGTTTACTCATATCTTCATCATGCCTAATCAATCCTGCTTACAGTGTGGAACCAGATGGCTCACTTGTGGATGCAGATGGCTACAAGGAAACTGGTTCAAAAAAGAGGTAATTATTACTCGTCATTTCTGCTCGTTCACACACTTTTCACTAGCCAGGGATCTTCATGGAAACAAAAGCTCTACTCCTCGGGTAGAGTCATGGACTCATGGTATGCATACATCTTACACCCCCTACCCCCACCTCTGGGTGGCACATACCAGGGGCAGACCCACGTGGATTGATACGGTGGCACAGACCATCTCCTCATAGTTACGTAAGGGGAAAATATTATGTTTATGAAGGGTACCACTGTATTGTTTGGCTGGATGCATCAATATAGTTTTTGAAACTGAAATGTTAACACAAGACTTTAATGGCTAAGATGGTAAATGCTCCTGCCTTTGTACAAAATTCCCATGTTCGAGTCCCAGAGTCGTCAAATTTGTTGTTTTTAGCTTAAATTTTAGTGTTCTTTTTATATACCTTTTGTGTTTTAAAAAATACATGTAGACCGGACTCGAACATGGTCTTTTCTAGTTAAGGCCAAGGAACCAATTAACAGATCTATACTAATATTCTGAAGAAAGAAATTAGACTTTTTTTTAATAGTCAAATTGTGCCAACTTGAAAAAATTTCTGGGTCTGCATCTGCACATACTAGTTCATTTGGTTTGGTTTACTTTTAAGCTTGTGTGAATATATCCCTTTATGGATAGTTGTGGAAGGATTTGTTATCGGTTAGAGAAATAGGCTAAGAGTGTTATAGTTTTGTGTTACTACGGGTTGGGGATCCTTTTTGAAGAAACTATGTTAGCATTTATGTACGGGTCTTCTTCTTCCCACTTTGATTTGCTTGCGATGTAGTCACAAACTTATTTCATCGAATAATTGTATAAGCCAAAAAAATAAGGAAAATCAATTTAGAGTGCCGGAGAAGTTTCCATAGTCGATGCACATATGCTTAGCTTGTTTTGCATCAAGACTTATACTTCATCACTCATAGGAGCTACAACATACAAAACTGTATTTTTCCATTAAATATAGCTGGAAATGTCACCTGCAATTCCATGTCGTCCTTTTAGGAAGTTTTCGGTATGTGGGACAGGACGGGACAATACAAAACTTCTTGTCCCACCTTTGGTATGACATTGGAGTACAAGACCGGAGTGGGACAAAAAGGCATTTTTTCTGTCCCACCAAAATAAGTGGAACAAAAATGAGGGAGACAAGGCAAGATTGGTAAATTATTAATTTCTAAACTACCTTTGTGGCCATGTCAAATTAAAACCCTAAACCTTCTACAATTTTTTCACCTGCCTATCTCACTCTCGCCCGTACTGTCTTGTCTGCATACCAGACGCACCCTTAAGTGTTGATGTTGCATTGTATCACGATATCTAGATGTGATCAAACAAACTTTGGGCAAGACTTCTTGCACGTATTTACTTGAATTGATGAGAAAAAAGTAGCCATCTTTCGGTTTTAATTTGTCATTTTGGATTCTCGTGTTCAACAGGGGCAGGGCTGACCCTGGCAGTAGTACAAGCTCCAAAGCATGCCGAGAAAAATTGAGGAGGGATAAGTTAAATGACAAGTATGCCACACTCTTTGCATTATGCACCCCTTCCCCCCCAACCCCTCCCCCTCTATCTCTCTCATGTTAACAATATGACGACTTTTAGGTTTGTCGAATTGGCTTCGATCCTTGAGCCTGGGAGGCCCCTTAAAACCGATAAGGCTGCTATTTTGGTTGATGCTGTGCGGATGGTGACTCAACTACGAACCGAAGCCCAGAAACTGAAAGACTCGAGTTCAGATCTCCAGGAGAAAATCAAAGAGCTGAAGGTGATCTCAATACCATTTTATTTTTTTTGATAGGGAAAAATGCAACAAAGTTTGCCTTGATTCCTATTCAGTATAACATTTTTTTTCTCACTCAATGATACAAAGTTTTTAAATTTCTTATTTTGTATCCATTTTGACCGCTTACCTGCTAATCTTGTAACATTTGATGGCGTGGATGTCAAGTTTATCATCCACTTCATCATAACACTAAATAGAAACTAAAGAAACTTTGTTATATTTTGATGCATTTTGCGCTATTTAGCTACTATGACCCCGGATTTATGGATTCTTGTTGTGTGAAGTCTGAGAAGAACGAACTACGGGATGAAAAGCAGAGGCTAAAAGCCGAGAAAGAGAAGCTCGAACAACAAGTTAACTCGATGAACACCCAACCGAGCTTCATGGCTCCACCACCTGCTGCATATCCAGCTGCAGCCGGAGGCCAAGCGATGGGCAATAAGTTGGTTCCTATTATTAGTTATCCAGGAATGGGTATGTGGCAATTCATGCCGCCAGCCGCTGTCGATACATCACAGGATCATATGCTTCACCCACCAGTGGCTTAATTTGACAATCAAGCAGTTTGTTTGTCATTCCTTTGACTCTTTTTAGGTTTTCTGTGTGTAATTTGAAGTTGTTGACGATATATGGTATCATACCTTTTAAGTTATACCAATTAAAATATTCAATGTTTATGTTTGCTATTTGTTGGTTTATGGGTGTTCCTAAATTCAAGAAAGAATAAAAATCCCTTTATGGCCACGAATGTTCAAATGCGGTGACTCCGGGCCATCTGCAAAGCAGGTGGTCGTCCTAGGATTAGTCGACTCGCATAGCGGGTTGGATATTCAGGTTAATCAAAAAAATAATATTTATGGGTGTGTTTGGATTGGATAAGATATGATAGAACCGGGATCATTGTTCCTAAATCCTTGCGAGAACATGCCAACCTGGGGTGGGGTTTGGGAGGAAAGACGTATACAGACTTGATCTTTACTGTAAAAAGTATTTCAGATTTGTTTCAAAAGACAACCCTAAAGTCACTAAATTGCATTTCTTAGGCAGGACATGACAAAAACTGTGTTTTGCGTTTGACATGACATTACACTGAAATATGACAACTGAGTCGAACAAAACACGTTTTTGTCCCACCAAAATAAGCGGAATAAAAAAGGGAAAAAGATGAGGCAGAATTTGTAAATTATTAAACTACTCGTTTCAGTTAAATATAGTTTAAATCTCCGATAGGTAATACAAAATCCACAGATTGGTGTAGATTTTGGTAAAAATAATAAATCTATCTTGATGGTAACCTCTCATATCTTATACCAGAATGTAAGATTTAAACATTCCTTTTCATCTTTTCTTATCGGTATAAAATTTAGTACAAACGAATAGCATTACACATTTTTGGTGTGATACTATTCATTACACAAAATTTGATGTCCACATTAAAGTAATTTGGGGTCAAATTTGGTCATTAAGAACTATTTACCAAATGCTTACCAGATAAATACTTACCATTAAAAATCACCACTCACTTGTTGTCAAGTAATATTACTAGCCATCAAAATGGATTGTTTATAAACGTCTCTTATACGATAAGTGCTAACCAAATAAGAGTATTCTTCCTCACTTAGCAGGTAGGATTCTCGATATTTGACATGATGTCTCGATATACATCTGGTGTAAGATTGATGTCCCGTTAAAGACGGTCTAAAGATCGAGGTGAAATGAAATAAAATTATTTCATCACATTCGACTTCATCTTCAGTACCGGCTCAGAAGGGTCGGTAATGTACGCTAAAAACATGTAGTTGCTTCTTATCGCACCATACTCTTTAAAACCCGAAAAAAGACTAAGAAAAAACAAATGAACAAACATAAAAACATCTTGAAACCAAAAGAGTTGCAAATGATGCTACTATCCACATCATTACAATTCATTATTCAAGATTATTTGAGTTTTATTTACACAAGTCATCGGAACAACAAACTTTCGACACAATCCCAAATCCAAGTAAAGACCTCACCGGGATTCACTCTTCTTTATATTAGGAACCATCGTAAGGATGTAAATACCCGTAACAATAAAATAAGACACTGCACAATGCACACCTGCAAAGCGAACACAAGGCACAAACTGTATTAGCAACTGTATGTTCTTTTATTAAATCAACCCCGGTACGAATCCTGCCATATACATATACGCTTGTAGCCACTGGGAGATTTATATCAGGGCTGTGAGCGAAGCTTACAATAACTAGTCGAGATCACCCATTTCCACACAAAAAAACTAATGTACTTTTAGGGTGCGTTTGGTAAAAAACTTGTTCTCCTAAATTTGGGGCGACACTAGACAGGGATCGGATAGAACCAGAGTGGGGCAAAAATGCATCTTCATTGTCCCACTAAATTAGATGGAACAAAAATCAGGAAGATAAGACAAGATTTGTAAATTACTAGACTACTCATTCCAAATTAAAACCTTCATTAATTCTTTCACACGCCTACCGTGCCGTTAGCATAACAAACAGACAGCACTGGATTGGCTAGAATGAGGTAGACAGGTGAAAGAATTCTGGATGGTTTAGAGTTTTAATTTGACAAGGGTAGTTCAGTAATTTACCAATCTTGCTTCATCTCCCTGATCTCATTCCACCTTTTTAGGTGGGAAAGAAAAAGTGTAATTTTGTCTCACTAGGTCCAGTCCTATCCTAGCCCGGCCACCAAACGTAAGATAACAAATTCTTGTACCATCCTTACTTGCATACCAAACATACCGGTCCATCCGGCAAAAAGTATACAAGAGTTAATGGCTTATCAAATAGCGAGTTTAGCGGTAATAAGCAAGGTTCTAAATAGCTTGAGGTGTGGTGTGGTGAGGCAGCAAGGTCAAGCCTTTAGAATGTTTTTCAAGGCGTGACTTGTGGCGGCAAATCTTTATATCATATATAAAATTATATACATAGAGGGAGGTTCAGGGGAGAACCCCAAAAAAATGAAAAACTAAGGAACGCTCAGGTAACCATTCATCTGCATAGTATACATGTGCATACAAGTAATTGAAGTTTTTTCTTGGTTTTTATGCACATTTGCATACCGTCTAGATAAACGGCTCAGCTTTTCATTTTTCGGGATTCTCCCCTAAACCTCCGTCTATATATATATATATATATATATATATATATATGTGTGTGTATGTATGTATGTATGTATGTATGTATATGTATGTATATATATATATATATGTATGTATGAACATATGTTCTCTACTATTACTCAATGAATCAATGATAACAAGTCAAGTTATATATATTAAAAACTAACAAATAAGATATTGAAAAGGTAAGTAAAATCAAATATCATGTTACAAAAACTGCGTATTACGCCATGGCGTGCCACAGGCTTAACGTGGCGTGAGACACAAGCCATGAGCCATGAGACGGCATGGTGGCTGCTGCAGCGAGCCTTTTAGAACAATGATCGTAAGCAAATAGTGACTTTTTAAAGCTCTAAAAGAAACTTACCTCTAATCAAACTCGTCGCCTTGATCTTCATATTGGTTTTCCAGTTTCTGACCTATGTTATTATTTACAAGCTCCGTTTGGGTCTCACTCAACGAGCATTCTCTATTATCTACAGTCTCAAATCGAGTAGGAAATATACGGCTGATGTCGGTATTTACAAAGCCATTGGTATCTTCATTTGGCATTTCACGAGCATCCTCCCCAGTTTCTTCATCGCCATTTTCAAGTCCAACTGCTGTAACAACAGCATCTGGTGTTGAGTATATAGGATCGCAGCTGCTCTCAAGTGAAATCTTATCATGGTCTTGCGTCCCAGAGGAGTGATAAGGAGTGCCCATGTTGCTGTTGTGATCTAAAGAAAAAACCCTGGATGAAAAGAAAATAAAGTTTAAAGGGTCTGTTTGTTAGCAGCTTAATGGGACTCGTAACATATTCCGTCAGCTATACATGACTGTTTGGTAGTGGTTTAATGATATAGAAAGTTCCTTATTCAGTAAGCTTTTAGGGGGGAGCCTTATACAGAAAGCCAAGTTTTTTCCCAAACCTGCCCCTCTCAAAAAAAAACACGCTTATTCCATCTATGAAGAAACCCTTCCAAACAAAAACCTTCTCAATCTATATGGACAAACTACTCCATACAGGAATTAATCCAAACAGCCCCTAAGCTGAATTGGGGGTTAGAAGAATAAGCTCAGAAACATTAAAAGTACTGCTTCTGATCAAAACTGTGACTAAAGATCGTGATCTTACTAAAACTTCGCCATAACTAATAATCTTGAGAGTGCATTTGGTACACAGACAGGACATGACTAGACAGCCACGAGAGCGAGGTAGGCTTGTGGATAGTTTTTGGGTTTTAATTTGGTAAGGGTAGTTTAGTAATTTACCAATATCATCCTATCTCCCGATTTCTTGTTCCACGTATTGTGGTGTGACAACAATTTGAATTTTTTGTCCTACTCTATCCTGTCCTATCCAAATCTCAAGGTGCGCCAAACAAGGGACAAGTTTTTGTCTCATCATTTCCCATTTGATCCCACATACTTTCTCCTGTATATGCATCGAAACTTCCCCTTCCCCCTCAAGGGCTCTTTTGGAGATTGATCTGGAGGTCCACATATTTTCACATGGTATCAGAGCCAAGGTTTTCCCCCCTAGGAACCTGACACTCTCGCTAGCCCCCTGTCGACACTTTCGCTGTGTCCATCTAGCCTCAGTTGGAGGGGGTGTGTTGGGAGTCCCACATCGGTTAGACTTGGACCATTTATCATGTATATATGTTGGAAATCCTCCCCTTTCTCCTCAAGTGCTCTTTTGGAGATTGCTCTGGGGGTCCCACATATTCTCACAAGGGTCAATAAGTAACAGCCAGAGACCTTGATCTTACAACCTGAAGTTTTACGAAAACAGACACTCTACCCCCTCAAAGTAGAGGTAAGGTGTGTTTACATCTTGCCCTCCCCAGACCCTACTTAGTGTGGCACTTACTTGGTTTGTTTGGTTTGGTTTGGTTTTGTAGCAAATAGACTATTTTAACCTTCAAACCCACAAAAAGAGAATAAAAGTTCCTAGGTACCGTAGCTTCATTTTCTAACAATTCAACCACTTCTAAGAATATTCCTGGAACTAAAACAGAAGTTTTAACCGAGACCATATATAGAATTATACACCATTAGAGTAAGGGTTTGTGAAAAACTCTCGTATATACATGCATACCTTGTTGTTTGAACTTTGGGTCCTTGAAGATGATCAATAGCTGGAACCAAGTATCTAGACCTGGCTTCAATTGTGTGGGCTGGGATCTTCTCTATCTCAAATTCACCATTTGACTTATTTACCCCATCCATTATGATATGATCCATCATTAAAGACTGAAAGTATACCTGCCAAGAATCAATAGGAATATAAGGAACTCGGTTAGTAATGGAAGGATCATTGGCCCAGCAGTATCGGTGTTACCAGTAGATCCCAACCTCCCTAGACTGTGTGAAAGTTTCGCCATATATATAAGATCAGGTTCAGGGGAGAACTACAAAAAGTTGAAAAACGGAGGAACACCCTCGTAACTGTTCATTTGGATGGTATGCACATGTGCATACAAGTAATTTTGAAGGCAATTTGTTCGGTATGCACATGTGCATAACATGTACACGTGCATAAAAACCAAGAAACAATTTCAATTACTTGTATGGACATATGTATATCGTTTAGATGAACAGTTACCGGGGTGTTCCTCAGTTTTTCACTTTCCAAAAAAAGTAGAAAATATGTATTTAGCTTATACCTGTGATCTTGCCCACAATGAAATATGCGATTGGTGCATCTGTAATTCAGCTTCACAAATATACACATGATTCCTTTCCTCAAAACTAACATTTTCTTTTTTGACTTTACTCGTACCATCAAAGAAATCTTTATTCTCATTTTCAGTTCTTTCGGGGAATACTTTCCTGCTGTCTGTATGTCCATTATCACCATAAATGTCGACATTTTCTTCTCGCTCCCTTCTGTTCTGTTTATGACAGAGGTTCCACTTCTGAATTGGCTCAACAATCAATCTTGAATCATGATCAGAAGAGAATTCATAACCATTGTTTGATCCCGACATTACGGCTACAGAATCTACCTCAGATGATAAACGCAATGCATATTGTATCACACAACCCGAAGATGAAAAAACCAGCATGTGGTACTTTGGCATCATGGAACTTAAATCTGCACCCAGATTGTTACTTCTGCATTTATGGAATGTAGAGGCAATAACCCCGGATGACGAATTCATCCAACCAGATGCAGCTACAGCAGCCCCAGATACCACAGTTCTCCAGCCACTATTTCCGCTTCTTATTCTGCTGACAGCAGAGAGTGTAACTGGAGGACCAAAAGCACAAAGATTCTGTTGTTTACGCATCGGTGGACCTGAACCAGAAAACCCGAACTCTGGAGGTTTATTGATGGCATCAGAATTGAACCCCCCATTGCTAGTAGTTAAAGATTCTTCGGCAGACTGTATATTAACTGGCCCCCCTGATGGAGATATAGAAAATAGATGGCTGGTGCCTCTAGAAGAACTTATCATAATCCAACGGCTGTCCACACTGAAACTTATGTCCTGTATAACCTGATTCATGTTGCATAAATATAAGCAAGATTTTAAAAGGCGGAATTGGACCTTGAGGCGTTTTCCCTCAACGAGGCAACGCATAAGCCTCGAGGCAGAAATATATATACGCCAAAATATGTATATATACTACACAAATATATATATATATACATTTATAAACAATATATATATGATATTAAATTACTAAGGGTGCTTGTTCAGTTCTTGACAAAGGAAAGAGTGAAACCATGTGATAGGCAGAGAGGGTGCGAAAAAATTGATTGCTTGGAGGAAGTGGAAGGGTCAAACCACACTTTTTGATTTGAGGAGAGAGTACTAGCTTTTTAATTTCAAAATATTAAAAAAACACATTGGCGCCACTGGGCTTTGGCTTTTATTTTTTTAAAATAAAGAAAGGCATTTATACTATAAAAAAAAGTACTACTACTACTACCATAAAGCTTATAAAAAGCCAAAAAAACATTACTAAAGCAGATCATCTGAGGCGTACGCCTCGACACCGCCTCACTTTAACCAAGGAGTAAGCCTCGTCCAGGGTCCAAGAGGTGCCGCCTCAGGTGTGGTTTTGGGCCGCCTCACCTCAACATGCGGTTTTGGAGTTTTTAACCTTTTTTCTCCAAAAGATCCTCCAAAATGGAGAAAGTAGAAGAAAGAGGATAAAAATCTCCAACTTTGGAGAACTCTTCAAGATTATATGTTGAAGAGATAGAAATATTTTTTATTCTTCCCACCAATGAAGTTGATCATATCATCATTTCGTATAAAGTTTATTGGGATATTAAATCTTTTGAATATTAATAATATACTTTATGTTAAAATCTCCAAAATGGAGAAACTGTTGGAGATTAATATAATTGTTTTTTGAAGATTTTAACTGTTGTTTCTAAATTTTAAAGGAAGTATAGAGAATCTGTTGGAGATGCTTTAAGTCTCTTACCGCATTTGTAAAACCCCGTTGAAGCCTGTAAAGGTGTACATAAGACGCATCGTTTTCAGATCCAGATGAGCTACATGAAATCCCCGGCATAATACGGAAAACATTGAAGTTATGACCATAAACCGAAGCTGTCACCAACAAGGTACCACTGGGATCAAAACATAATGATGCAATTGGACTGTCGTGTGCTTTAAACTGAGCAATTACTGATTTGCTGATAACATCTCTAACTATCACCTGGCAAATAAATAGGTGTTATTCCCAAGCAAATAAATTACAATAAATATGCTTACTCAAGTATCATGATGTTACTTATGTTATGATAATGCTTAGAGACTAGTTAGCAGTTTAATGAGCTTAATGGGCTCACAGCTTATTTCGTAAGCTATACATGACTGTTTGGTAATGGCTTAATGATATAGAAAGTGGCTTATTCAATAAGCTTCTAGGGAGGAGCTTTATGAAGAAAGCCAAGGTTTTTCCCAAACCTGCCCCTCCCAATAAAAAAATATGCTCTTCCATATATGAGAAAACCTTCCCAATCTCTATAGACAGATTAATCCACACAGACAGCTTTATCCATATAGGACTTAATGGAAAACCAACCAAACAACCCCTTACCCTTAGTTAACAAAAAAGGGAAACATGTAGAACAACAACTAATTGATACCTTGGTAGGGTGAGCATAAGAAGTCATTTCATCATAGAGTGAAGCATTCTCAAATGAAAACCTTCTTTTATCTTCTAAGGTCCAATTTTTGCTGCTCTACAAGGGTGTGTTTGGTATGTGAGACAGAACAAAACAGAAACTTGTTGTCCAATGTCTAGCACGACTTTAAACCGTGATATGACGGTCCTGAGTAGGGAGAAATATGCATTTTTTTCCTCCCAGGAAAATAAAAAGAACAAAAATCTGAAAGGTTGGACAAGATTGGTAAATTACTAAACTACACATGTCAAAATTAAATCCCAAAAACCTTCCACAATAGTTCCACCCGCCAACCTCACTCACGCCCGTCATTTCCAGTTCCATCAGCATACCATACATGCCCTAAGTAACTCACATGAATGACATGGATTACACATTGCAAACTATTGCTAACTCATCTACGCTTTCTTAGTTACTTTCTTTCCATGCCATTGTTGTCGTTGTTCTCTCTAACAATCAAATTTGTTGGAAACCAATGAGAAACAGGATTTGATTTAATAAATGTTGATACTTTTAACTCCTCTCATGAAAAGCCAAAGCAAATCACTCGATCAGAATATTAGTATATAACCATCAAAGTGACCGTTTTACTTCACTACTACAAAAAATAACATTTCAATGATGCTAGAGCAGATGGGTCAGTGAAATTATGAAAAAAGAAAGAGCTATTGATATTTCTAAACTCGTGCACTAACCTAAACAAACTTGGGTTTGGTAAGTAAAGAACACTAAGTCACTAACACATCAACAAGAAGTAAAATATAAATTAATTACAAAAGCTCTATGGGAAGAAAGAAAATTTCAGAGAAGGATACTTATAAAGAAAAATACGTACCATTCCAACATTCTCTGCATCAGGTAAACGGCTGTTAGGTGTTCCATGTTCCTTCAATCCAGGGTATAGCTTCTTATAACCAATATCCCCAAGAGTAACAATTCCTACAGCAAGCTGCTTGCTTGATTGTTTTGCATAGTGCRCAACAATGCTCCCATTTGAACCAGAGGCCGCAAAAGTTCTTGAGTGAGTAAGATGTTGTGGGCTCACACGGGTATTTGGCAATGCAACAGCACTACCACTGTAAGCAATCCATCTAGGACCAACAGCAAGAGGCCCCAAGCCTATATTTTCAAATCTTGTGGAGCTCGTTACTATAGGATTTGTGAGGATAGTGTACTCCCTTTCTAAAGTTGCAACGTCAAAACAATGTACCTGTAATGCATATGCATAAAACTAGATGTTCATAGAAGACAAAAGCAGCGTGGCTAAAAAAATGAATGAGAAGCAAACAAACCTGTAAACTAAACCAAATGACCGCAATATATCCCAAAATGATGGTGAGATATCCCAAAATGAAGGTGGGGTCCGGGTACACAGACCAGACCTGACCTCTACCCCACAGAGTAGAGCAGCTTATCGTGAAGACCCCGGCTCGTGCAAAGTGAGTGGTAGTAAAGGATAAAGATTGCTCAATGAATTGCAGAAAAAGCAAAACGAACCTGTGCGGCTTGTAAAACAGCAACAATGCGGGAACTGCATCTTACTGAGTAAACAACTGATCTGAACTTCAACTCTTTTATGTAAGATTGAGATTTTAATGAATAGAACCAGACTACAGTAGGCACAAAACCACCATTTAGTTGACCATAACCATTTTTTATGTTACCATTGCTAGAAATGGTTGGCCCACCCTGAGCATTTCCACCTGCAGAAAAGGATCCATCGGCACAAATTACCAGTAGAGGACGACTGTTTGCATATTCAACTTGAGAATGCTTCAGCACGGTTGGTTTTGGTAGTATTTGCATGAAAGAAACAGCACCATCATATCGAGAGACTATGTTATGCACATTGTTTGCATCTTCAACATCCCACACTTGGAAACCAAACTGATATCCCAGCAAAAGCACTCGACGAGAGTTATCTCCCTCACATTCAAGTTTGTCAAACCCAGCCCAGAGCACCTGCATTTATAAAGCATAAAAACAGATACCATTTAAAACCAAGCCAAGTGAACCCAGCATATCAGTATATCCCACCCGAAGATGGGACTTGGGGGTTGAAATGAATGCATGCCCAATAAATGTGTCTTATTTCAATGTCATAACTTAAGTTTGTTGGTGCATTTATTTCATTCTTACAGAAGTTGCAAAAAAGGACTAATTGGCCAAGTGTTGACAATATCAAAACCTACACAGCTCTATATTAATCAAATCAATCTCTACAAAGTATTTAAGCCAAACAAAATTGTGAACAGTTTGAATCAAAAAGTTACGTTCAAGCAATCATTCGGGATATGTATATATACATAACCATGTTACAGAATCACAGAACAAAACAAAATAGGGTAAGGTTTAAGAGCCATCACAAATAGAATAGCTTTCATGATTATCAGATCAAATATCTCAAAATTGTTCATCAAAGCTTGGTTGAGCAAAATATCTTGATTGCTCTTAAGTTGAAACAACCTCGAGTTGGTTGGGTTCGTGTACAGCTCTGTGCATACTGTCAATAAATATGGTATGTCAGAATATTATTGCATCTTTATGCCAGTAAATGCTAGTTCCAAAAACGTTGTAACGTAACACTTTCTCAAGTTGGTATAAAGTAACTAAACGATAATTAATTTACATCTTTTTAGTACTTTGTAGTTTACATTTGCTCTTCTGTCAACTAAAAGAAAATTATATCCTGCTTATTGATAACCTAAAACTATCCTAAGCATATCTAATGCTTATATAGTTCAATAAATGCAATACAATTAATAACCTAAAGTAAATCACGACAAGATACAATGCACAATAATTAATTAACTGATGTAAATTCAACAAGAATAAAAAATCTCATAGGATAAGACATCAATGTCCAGAGGTCCAAAACAATCAATATCAAATCAATCATAAATTTATACCTAAACAAACAAATCAATGCCAATGCAACCGAACAATTCAGCTTTTCATTTGTTCCATAAACAACAAAAAGTTTCGACTTCCTAACTACCCAAAACGCTGGCCGGTAAATCACAGCAACCAAATAGTAATAAGTAACTTCTCTCTTGGACTCATAATTGGCAGCTCAAGAATCATAGATCACAACCACCATGAAACTTACTTTTTTCAGATAGAGAAATGGACATCATCGAACATGAGAATCATAAATATGCTAAGAATCTGAATCCATGAACCAACTATTTCATGAACTTTTCACAAAAAACAACCTCAAAAATATAATTGAATATTATTCATCATGAATACCATTGCAGTTTCATTATTCATGACCAATAACCCTAAAATAATATTAATGATATTCATCATGAATGACTCGTGAAAATTTGGTTCCCAAGTTCTCAATATATTAATGGTTCTTGTTCGAAACCACCCCTTGTCAAAATACTCTAAATACTTACTTTTTTCTACTTGTCCAATTTAGGGCAAGTTTGTTAGCTACTTAGCTACACAACTTATTCGGTCAGCTATATATGACTATTTGGTAGTGGCTTAATGATATAGAAAGTGGCTTATTCAGTAAGCTTCTAAGGGAGAACTTTATGCAGAAAGCCAAGTTTTTTCTCCAAACCTGCCCCTCCGAATTAAAAAACATGTTCCTTCCATCTATGAAAAAAACTCTCCCAAACTAAAATTCTCCCAATCTATACGGACAGAATAATCCACACAGACAGCTATATCCATACAGGACTTAATGAAAAACCAACCAAACAGACCCTTTGTTTCAATCTCTATTCTATATACTTAAAAGGCACTTATATTAAGTTATTTCTAAACTTATATGCTATAAATATGCTAACATGTTATGAATTCAGTTACATTGCACATTAGTTTTTGAGAACACAAAAAATGCTTTACATATGCAAAAAAAGGACCCTAATTCCAAATGTGGAAATTAACTTTTGACAAATAAAAGAACAATCTTGAACTCAATATATGTTTTACGAAAGTTTCAACTGACCTGATCAGGAACTGCATCAGTATCACGATCCACAATCGTGGATGCAGCTGAAGCTGCAGACCGAACAGTGGAAGCAACGGTGGATGCACCAGACGACACAATCCTCAAGTAGCTAGAAATCGAACGAAAAGATGTCGGAATAAACCCATTGTTACTGCCATTCCGACCACCACCACCTTGCCGTGGCTTCTGGTCAATCTTCCTCATCACCAGAACTAAGAAGAAGCAACAAAGTCTTCAAAAATTTATCCAATTCAATACCAGAATCCTTTGTTCTTCTGTTTTCTGCACTGATCATAACCTCAACCCTTCTTTCCTAATTTAAACCCAGAATTCGCGATTCAACTCACATATGTGTTGACCATCGATCTCCACACACCACAAACATCCAAAATTACTTCAACAACACAATCCGATTTCTTTACCCCAACCGCTTCCCGATACTGTTGAATACCTCAAATCGATCACGACAGAAACCAACAAATTCCAATCCCTCGACTAAAAAAACAACGAAGGATTTGTTCTAACTTGATATATTTACGAAGCAAAGAATTTCATAAACTAACACCACCAAAAAAAGACACCCAAAAGATTTATGCAATCAAATTCAAATTGTTAGGGTTTGGTAGGGCAAAACCGATGAAATGGAAAGACGTATACATATATATACATCTAAATCTAGGTATGTAAATGGATAATTATATGAAGAAGATTGAGGAATCCGATTGTAGTTGGGAAAGTTAACGAATTGAATTGAAATTTATGGAAGAAAGAAAAGACTCTTGGTTTACGGCATTGAATTGAAGAGACCGCCCCCACACGTATCGTTGGTTTTTAAGCTTTTCTTTCACTGTCCTTGTAAATCTCTCGAGGTTAATTTTTGTCGGCTCAATTTACATTTCTAGTCCCTATATTTTTCTTGTTTATTGTTTTGATATTGCTTATAAAAATAATTTATTGACTTATTTCAGTGTGACACCGATAATAAACACTTTAGAGTATTTGGATAAACAACTTATACTGATGCTAAACCGATAATAAAAAGTTTTTGAAGAAGTTAAATCATTCTAACTTATAATAAGTTAAAAAATACTTTTATAGAAAATCATAAGTTGTTTCAAATAAGTTATCCCAAACATATCCTCAATTTCACATTTCATCTTTCACACCAATTTATAAATCCAGGTGGGTATTTGAGTTTTTTTTTCTAAGACAAACCATTTATTACTGCCCAAAATGAACTTATAGAAAAACCGATAAATGTTCTACAAGCACCAGAACCAAACAAAAACAAAATAATCTGAAAACAAGGTTAAACCGAATTAAACCAGATAAAAAAAACAACAACAAAGATCACCCAAGATTAAAACTGAAACGTGAGCGACTAGAAAGACTCGTGACAGATAAGAGCATATCAAAAGTGGTGCAGTAAACCAAAGTCCCTGCGAAATACAACTTTTCCGCATTCTTCTCGAAATGCAACCATAAGAGCTAGTTTGCATATCTGGGAATAAAAAATCTACAGATAAAGATTTATTCCAAAAAAAACAACTTTTGTAAGATGTTTTTGAAATGGATGGAATATGTCTAACATATCTAAATTCAAATAAATTCAATTGTCATTAAATAATGTTGATCATTTGTTTGGCTGGTAAGAAACGAAATATAATCTATCAGGTGAATTATTATTACTCATATAAGTCTAGTCCATAATAGACTTATTCAAAAGATGTAACTGGTTGGGTATGACCTATCCTAGCCCGTGGTATTTCGAACCTGTTACAATCAACGGACTGTCTTGTTAAAACAGAAGTTTTCATACATCTAAAACAACCTGTATATAGAAACAAAATAAATAGTATTAGATGGCGTCTGATTCCCAAAATGTTCCTTAAGGAACTGATTATGGGAGGAAAAATAACAGAGGAGACTATAATGGGGTTTAATTAGGTTTGAGTTTGACCAGATGTATTTGAATGAAATTTGTCAATGAATTAAAATATATCTGGTTTGTAAAATACAAGTTCATAATTGAAATGAAAAACAGTAATAAATAGCCATAATTACCTTTTTATGGTAAACTTTTATGTAAATCTATGATTTAATGTGTAAAGGTATGTAAATCTGTCATTTAATACGTAGAATATGATAAAATTATCACTAATTAAAATTTCAGTTTTTAATGATATTAATTCATCTTAGCATTTTTTACTTTTCTTAATTTTATTTTATTACTTTTGAGCTTACACTTTCACATCGATAATACAAGAAAGGGCTAATAATGTATAGAAGATGGAGACGAGAGGGTTTTAGATGGAGCAAAATATATGGTGACGGGGTTGCGACCCCTGGTTCAGGTTTAGCCGTTTAAGTTTAGCTCAAACAGAGGATTTATTGTAGGCTGAGTGCATCGTAGGTTTGTAGTAATAAAGCTAGTTCGAGGGTCAGTTGCATATCTAGCAAAATCGGCAGAAGGACGTGAGGAAGGTCGAATAACATAAGATGCAATAAAGACGATATTGTGTCATCATCATGTCCGCCATTAACAACTCATACCGGCATTTGAAGCGTAAAGGCAAAATGGGTTTGAGTAGGCGTGTGCAGTAGTTGATTTGAATAATCAAAAAAAGACCATTCTCCTTATTAAATACGTTTACAAAACGAAATGGTCTATAAGAAGGTCACATGTGGAATTAAAGATGAACAGTTTATCTGAATGAAGGGTGTGGACCAGACTGTAACCACACAAGACCAAAAACTGGGAAAATAAAAGAAACTGAAAATCGAACCTATCTAAATCGGTTCAGTTTATAACCATTTCACTCCCGACCGTTTCGATCCTATACATAACTGTGAATCAAAATAATGAGTTGTTTTAATTTTGAAAACAAACCTAAACAGCAACGTTTCTAGTTTGAAAAAAAAAAACGGTTATTTGGATTGAATGGATTGTTCAATGAACCTAGCTTAATAAGAATCCTTACGAACCTAGCCAATATCGTTAATTTCAATCTGTTTTAGTTCGATCCCAATTTGATTTATCGATTTCGTCAATGTCACTGGTTAGTTATTACTGATTTGGATTTAAACTGGGCTAAATTTAAAATTCAATGGGCTTTCCATAGGAAAGGACGTATTCATGTCACATGGGGAAGATAAATCAACGAAAAAAATGAATATTATAAAGATATTTTTCACCACATAATTCCATTCACATATGAATATTTAGATTTTTGCAAATGGGTCGCATGATGTCATGATGAATATATTGTGCTAAGATGTTTGTTAGCGGGTTTTTGAGTAAATATTTATATATGGTAAATGTAACAAATAAACTCATATATCATCTTCATCTATGGTGATGTTTGAAGCTTTGATTTATTAGGAGGCCAAAGACTACGATACCGCTAAGTCAAATACCATTTGGTGAATAACATAAAATTTCTTGTTATAAAAAAATTGTATTAAAATGAACAAATTTTGCATATGTTCATAATAATATGTAATAGTTGAGTGAAAACCGTCTATCAATATAATGAACTTTTTTTAAATCACCAATTAACGTAACAAACTTTTCAAACTTCCCGTTTTGGAACTAAAAGTAATCATTGAAGTTACAAAACCTTCGATTAATGTAACGACCTTTAAGATCCGGTTATCCTGAACTAGGAATGTTAGAAGGCTTGTAACATTTAATTGACGATTTTGATTAATCGAAACAAATGCCAAGTATATTGACATATTTTGCCCCTGTAAAATATATCATCCAACTTATTATTGTCTTTGTCTCACCGGTGTCGTTGATCTACCATCGTTTCATCTCTCCGTCAATCAGTTATTTCCGTTGGTGATCTTCTTAGTTTTTTACTTTTCGTTGTAGTTTTTCGCAAATGCTTAACAACTTCCCGTACGTAGCTCGGTGGCTCATGGTTGCAAAACACAATGTTTCACACAAATTTCGCTAAAATCAAATTGGTTCGATTATTTTAAAACAAATTGCATTAAAATGAAATAAAATATGGTTTAATTATTATCGATGTAACGCATATTTTTTCCCATTCTTAAATTTTATTTTATACCCACTTTACATATTAATCCGTATTTCAACTCATGTGAACATAAAATGTGAAAATTAATAATATTGAGTTTTCCAAAACAAAAAAAAAAAAAACAAAACAAAAAAAAGAGAGGTCATATTCTGACTTCGTAATTCACATGATTCACAATATAACCATTAAGTTAATATCCATGTCAGTAAAATGATCATTTTTCAAATGGATTTTTTTAAAAGGGTAAATTGCATGAAAAAAGTAACGTATTTTAATTTAATTCATATTTTGAATAACGTATTCTCAAAACTTCTATTTTGGTATCTATAATATAAAGTTTTAAACATTTAAGTAACTGGATAACCAGTTGAAACATTAACCGGTTATCATGCTGATGTGACGAGTAATGTGGTATCCAACTTGGTATTATTTGCTGACGTGGTTAGTGACGTGTATTTTTTTAATCTAAAATTAGTCTTCAACCGATTACCCGAATACTTAAATATTTATAATTTTACATCTTAGGTACCAAAATGGATGTTTTAAAAGTGTGTCATTAAAAATAAGAATCAAGTTAAAGTTTGTTATATTTTCATGCAATTTGCCTTTTACAAAATAATCATTTTTTAGGGACTTAGCGATTTTTGTCTTTTGGTATAGATGAGTCCCACATGCCTAAAAAACAGGGGACACAAATATGAATTTTTCAAGAAATTATGTAAATAGCTCTTTAGAGCGATTTTTTATTAAGAAGTTGTTTGACAGTTGTTGAATGGTTTGATGTATAATGATTAAGAGACTATCATGATACAGTGCAAATGAAATATTATTGATTGGTAATTGTTTACAATGAAATTATGGCGCTTAATGGTTAAGGGAGACTCAAGATACAAAATCATTCAGAAGGTTTTAAAATCATTAATAAGACAAATTTTTTTTTTTTGTCAAACAAGATTCATCTTTTAAGAATTCAAAAATTAATTCTTAATTAAACTATTAAAATGTAAACAAACAACCTTAATTCTTAAAGAGAGATGACATTGCCAATATAATAACAGAAGATGTGACAACATAATGACAAATTTTCAGATTTAATATTTTATTGCATTTGATTTTTTTTATTCATCATTTTAGTTAATATTTTAAAATTAATTTTAAAAAATGTAATTCCCGTAATTAATTAATATTTTTATTTAATAAAATAATAAATTATTTTAGTTGGACCCGATAAGCCACATGTTTGTTATGTGGTCCAGACGCTTTTGGTTAGGTTCCAATTCGATGCGTGCTCAGGCCGACTTGTTACGTGTTGGGTTCGCAATTAACCCCCTTGTTATTCGTTAACCATGGTTTACTTGGATTACAAGTTTAAAACCATTTGCCAACTATGTTTCTTTACCCTTCACACAATCATCCACGTGTCAATTTCTTATTCGATATCGGCTTACATGGTTCCGTAGACAACATATATAATTTATGATTTATAAAACACGATTTGTAGATGTCGGGATTGGAAATAATAATGAATAATGGTGTTTGATTTAATATAATATAGTGAGTGATTATTTAAAAGTGGGCAATCATAGTCTTTGGTTTTCTAAGAGGTCAGAAGTTCAAGCTTCACCGAAAGTAAAGAGAGTGTGCGGGGTTTATTTGTTGTATTTATCGTATATAAATATTATATACTTAAAAAAAAGTGGGTAATCATCTATGTTATAGTAAATGCAAAAGGAAGGCGGATCAGATGCAGGTCCAGTTGAAACAGTGATATTATCTTACTAAAAGGATGAAAGTTATAAAAAACTTTTTACAAAGATCATGATATATTAGTTGGTTAGAGAGAGAGACAATCATATATATATATATATATATATATTAGTTGGTTAGAGAGAGAGACAATCATATATATATATATATATATATATATTAGTTGGTTAGAGAGAGAGACAATCATATATATATATATAGAGAGAGAGAGAGGAGGGCGGGGGAGGGAGGGATAATCAAATACAATCCTTCCTATTTTACAACACATATAACCTCATTTAAAATCATCCATTTTTTAAATAAGGGTAATTTTCAACTGATCAGTCAACTGGCAATCGTTGATGAAAATAATTGATGGTTAAGATGTAGTTATATTGGTTGCAACAATTAGAGAAATTGCATAACAAACCATATATACACACACACACACACACACACATATATATATATATATATAGAAAGAGAGAGAAAACGTTTCAAATGCAACTCATCATATTTGTATAATCAATGCAACTCAATCAATTGAGATATTTATGAAAGATGACTAGGGTTCATTATATGATCAATATTTTATATTATGAATAATCAAAACTTTTATGAAATCACATATTCATCAAAATTAAATGAACGATTGAGATTAAGTTGTATTGGTTGTACAACTGTAAAGGGTTGCATAATAACTCACATCTCTCTCTCTCTTTATATATATATATATACACACACACACACACATATATATTCAATTTTAACGGGTTTATCCATTTTTAGACTTCTAGCATTGATTATAGCAGTAAACTATTAAGTGCATTTAACGTCATGATAACAATTTAAACATTGATTGGCGGATATACATGTTCTTTTTTCCTTTATCAGGAAGCGAACAAATAGAATCCATTGGGTGTTTATAAAGACACAAAAAACTATTGCATTATTTTTTGAGCTTGCTTCAAATATGAAAACTACGATATTCTCCTTTTCGCACTTTATAGTTTTATGGTAGTTTTAAAAAATCTGTTGGAACAATTACAAGAAATATCTGCAAAATCTCTGCTCTATCCATTATTACAACTATGTAGGAGACGTTCTAAATAATTCCAGTTAATTTGGATCTGATTATGATCATCAATCGTATGGTTCTTAACGAGTTCTTACATCTTTTAAACAAAATCGAACCATACAAGCATAATAATCTTGTTAACTTCAATCGAATCCTATTTTGTTTCCCAACTTAATAAAGTTCATAGTCAAATAGACGTTACGAACCTATTCAAGCAATGTTATAGAAAAAGTCTAACGTATTAATTATCTACAATATTGGTTCTTATTATTTATCCAAATTTAAGAGTGAGTCCCCTAAACATATTAAGTACGTTACTGGTATTAACTTTTACTTTTCATAGCACTGTTAGACCTTGGATTAACACCGCTTCTTTGAGCTGCTTTACAGTCTTTGTATTAGAGGTGATCATTTGCGGGTCTGGGTTGGGTCCAAACCGGACTTAACTTGTTTTTTTGTCCAACGGGCCTAATATTGTAAACCCAAGTTTTTTTTTTCCGGGCTTGATAGTTTGTCATTGCCTGCCTTATAAACGGGTTGGGATTGCCCACGGGCTAATGGGCCTAAAAAGTGTAACTCTTATAAATTTATAAACTTGATCACTAGCAATTAATTAACAATGTTGAACCAAAAAGTAAAGAAAAAATACTGTTGCAGTTATAATTTTAAGCAACTAAAGTGACATATAGATCTCAATAGGTGGCGAAAGAAATGAATAACAAAATTCAGACTTCCATAAAATCAATAATGCATTCCTATTTTTTTTATGTATAACATTAATATTCACATTAAGAGGTAAACAAACAACCGTAGTCTTTTAGGTTTTCAAGAATAACCAAAGAGTCGAGTCTCATCCTATAACTTTAATAATTTAATTTTAAAATATACTAACATAATTTTAATTAATTGTAAAATAAAATATTAATTATAAAATATAACGGGCTAGGCGAGCCTGTTCATATATACTTTTACATTACCCATATCTGTTTGTTAATTTTAACGAACAAACTGGGTCCGTTCATTTTCTCGATAATGGTTGTCCAAACCCGTATTTATAATGGATCGGATGAACCATGTCTAATGGGTCGTCCCACCCATAAATAAATGAAACCAAATTCATTACCGTGAGATTATTGTACATAACTCATGTATTTTAAATAAAATATCCTAAATCTATAAAAAAAAGTAAAGAAAACCACATGAAAAAATAAACGAACCCTAAATTTACATCTTAACCACTTTTTGGATTCAATTCCCATTTTAGATAGTTTATATAATTGTTTTCGGACAAATTGTATGAAAAAATAACGTACTTAACTTGATTTTTATTTTAGGTAACGTACTTTTAAAAGTTTCATTTTGATACATAAGATGTAAAATTTTAAACATTTAAGTATACGTGTAACTGGTTGAATACTAATTTTAAATTAAAAAAAGACTAATTTTAGATTAAAAAAATCTCTGTCATTAACCACGTCAGCAAATAATACTGGTTGAATAACACATCACTCGTCACATTAGTATGATAACCAGTTAATGTTTCAACCGATTATTTAAATATTTAAATATTTAAAACTTTACATCTTAGGTACCAAAATAATTATCCAAAATAAAAATGAAGTTTTAAAACATTTGTATAAAACTTATTTAAGCCATTTTCGTTGCAAAGTTTCCATGAAACAACTGAACGACATTTTCTGACAACGGAGCCGAGGTCCCATACCAAAACGGCCAATATCTCCAACCGCCTCCCTCACTCTCCTTATCCCCACTGCGTCACCGTCGCTGGAAATCCCCTCCGATCACCAGAATCAATATCACCAATCCTTTCATCGGATGCGTGATTGATTTTACCGCTTTCGATACGTTGTATATTTGAAGGTTTTCTGTTTTGGAAATAAAGTTGGTGGAGGTATGGAATCGATAATGGCTAAGGCGCTGGAGACCACTCTCAAATACTGGTTTAAATCATTCACCAGAGATCAGTTCAAGTTACAAGGCCACACTGTTCACCTCGCCAATTTAGGTTGGCATTTTATGATGCAATTGTGCTGAAATTGAATAACTCGATTCAATTTGAACGTGGAATTCCATTTTTGATAGATATAAACGGTGATGTTTTGCACGCAAGTCTTGGATTGCCGCATGCTTTAACTGTTAGCATGGCGAAATTGGGGAAGTTGGAGATCGTGGTATGTAACTTCTTATGGTTCACTAATATCAGTGGGCTTATCATCTGATTTTTTTTGGAAGGATTGCTGTATTTATTTTTATCATCTGCAGAGTTAATTTCTAGACACATATGGACAAATTTTTATACGCGCGCGCACACACACACATATATAATGTGTTTATGTTATGTACATGCATTCTTAAAATGACCAGACGACTGTATTTTTTAAGCTCCCTTATTTGAGTAATGTACAACTCGAGCCAATTGTTCTGCAAATTGATAAGCTCGATGTGGTGTTGGAGGAAAATGATGATTTGGAAGCACGTAGGAGCACACGCAGGTGATCATTAGTTTAATATTATCGATTTCTGTCTGTCTACTGACTTCTGTAAATGATCGTTTTGGAGTACTGATACAGTTTGCTATATAATGTTTTCTGTGCTTGTCTATGAAAGAGCACAATCGGCTTCTAGTTCGACAAAAGGCAGTGGCTATGGATTTGCTGAGAAGGTTAGTTTTTACATGGTATCAATTAATATATCAAGGATTGCTTGCTTTTGCTTGTGCTCGAGACCATTTTAAGTGTAATTGTGACCGAATATAATTCAGAAACAAGTGGAGGGCACTATAAACCAGAACAAAGGCTTGCATAAAATGTCCAATGCTAGTGAGTGAAGCGATTATTAATTATTTGCTCTCAAAAGAATCAAGAAAATATCAGAGATATGCATCTTTATGGAGCTGATAAATGTAACCGTGCTTGCCCGTTCTTTGAACAGTGCTCTTAATTTAAGTAAATACTAGACAGATGCTTGTTGCATTGAGCTGCATAGGATATGTGTTGAAAACGTTACTGTCAGTGCATTGGTTGATAAGAACTTGCAACCACTAAGACCATGAAGTTAGTTTTTAATTTCGTAGGTGGGCAAAGGATTTGTAATTCCTGCAATTCTAGTTTCATTTTGACTTTTCACATTTGTGGGTGGGCCTTTTTCTATAGGTCATTCCTGGAATTGTAGCTGCTCTCCTTGAGCACGAAACTGCTTGTGCAATTAATTGCTCATTAGGCGCATGCATGGTTTTTTACTCTTACTGAAATACTGAAGGCTAACACTTTTTTGTCATTTGTGGGGTTTGTCAACTTTTGTCCAGTTAAGAAATGGCTACCCCTCTATTGTTAAGGCTTTATTTGTTTTGACCAATCACCCTATTCGCGTTGTGGGTCTGGTATGAGGAGAAATAAAGATGTGATTCTGGTCACATTTACTTGATGCAAGGTGAAATAAAAATGACACCCACAAAATGAAGAATAGATATTAGACGAAAATGATAGAAGCCAATAGGAGTGTAAATGTTGTACCTATTATCACCATTACTCAAATTTTGACGATAGTCATAAGCTGCACCTTCTGAAAATTCATCTTTGTATTGTATAGGCTTGGGCCAGTCACTGGCAATTAGTTGCTTCAATTACAGCTTTTAACTTAATTCTTAAAACTTAGACCGCTGACTTTTTTTTATCAGATTGCTGATGGAATGATGTTACAAGTACAGACCGTCAGTTTATTACTTGAGACTCATGGGGGTGGTAGACATCTTGGAGGAGCAACTTGGTAAGTTTACTGGATCACCTATGTACTATAGGGCTGTATATTCATATTGACAAAAATCTATCAAAAAGAAAATCACATATACAGACCAAATGCTTGTAAAAGATAAGAACAATGATAGTATAATATTTAATGGAAGTCATACTTGGGTGTGTCTGACAGGATAAAAACGACCAGGTTGTCCAATCAGCATTTGTGTTCCCCAACTTGTGCATTAACCTTATTGGATGTGGTTCATATTTTGCTTAAGGTTGTAAGAAATTGAATACCAAGTCCATACCAAAAAATATCTTAGACAGACACATTATTTGACGACCGTTTTATCATCTGTAATGTGAATGCTGCCCACAGACACCCTAAAGTGCTTGAATACAGATCTTTTTCTGTTTTGTGCATTTACATTGTTAACAGAGTCTTGCATCTCTCAAAGTTGGGGTAAACAAACAAGAAAGAGGGGGCAGGCACTTTGTGACTCTTTGACCCAACTTGGAGTTAGGTGTAATGCCGAAGTAATAGTGGTACTCCTTGCTCTAAGATTTTTTACTGGGGCAGCATATTTAGATAGGAATATGTTCTTGTGGACTTTGAGTATGTAATCTAGATGAGTTGGATGATGAGGCAGCCAAAACTTGTGCTTATGAAGAGATTATCGTATGTTAAGGCACCACAAACCAGTCCCTGCAAAATGCCGACTTGACAAAAGCTGCATGAAAGTCTGTTGCCTGTGCCTGCCTCATAGTGTGGAAGGTGCCCAAAGGAAATGCTAGAGACATGTTAGGAGATTACAAGAGATTGGATCATAGCTAATGCCATAAATGTGATAATACTCGCAAATACGCCCACCCATCTTTTCTTTGTTATAACATTCCAAAGAGACTAGATGTGTAGCCGTGTAGGTCTGAACAAACCTATAGAGAGTAGACCACATGCTAGTTTTGCTTAACATCCCAAGGTTATTTAAGAACTTTAGTTTGGTGACAGAAAAGTTATGCCATCAAGCCATGTGCCCGATGCTTAATATGGCTGTTGCTTGCAAGACAACTAAGCTATGTGACAGGAAATACGTGCGATGCAGAAAATTTGAGGATCCAATCATGCTCAGGTTACGAACAGAAAACGGCATCATTATCTGCAACTGAAACCTCCATAATTGCTTGCCATCTGTTGCCATGTGCCATCATCCTCTAGCTAATTCTTATTTAGTAAAATCCTATTATCAATGTCAAGTGCTGTAGTAGAATCATTACCAATGGCACACAGTGCACCCAAGTGATGCATTAAGATTAACTACAAGTAATCTCTAAAGTTACTCTATGCTGTTATATTCATCTGTTACTCTAAGCCCTTTTTTCATTTCTTAGATTTTCAAGCATAAGAGTACTGTACTCACAGTAAGATTTTAGAATTAGTGCTATCATAGACAAAGGTTAATCAAGCTTATTCTCTACATACTCCGGATTCGTTTTTTAAGAGTTTCCTTTCCCTTCAATAGCTTCATCTACGATATCTCGTAATCAGTATCTGTAAATTAGCTATTGCTTCTTGCTTTTGATTACCCACTATAGAAGTGTAGGCATTAGGGTGCTGGTTTGAAGTCGTTGCCAATGCTTTCTCTTGTTTGATAGTATCCTCGGTCTACTTGTACTCTATTATCTCTAAATGGGGAACTTTCCTGTGGTAGATCAATGAGTAGTTAATAAGTTGAGGTTTCAAAGGATAATCACCAACTTTTCTATCAAAAAGTATACTTCGCATTGCAAGATTTTGAACACTAAAACTTTTGGAATAAGCATTTATCTTTATGCTAAAAACAGGCTTTTATATCCTCTCCCAGTTATACTGCTAATAATCCCGACCTCATGCTTTTCAAGTTCACGGGGATTTTTGGTGTTCCCATGAGTAGATGGTCAACTACTTGAGGCATTGGATATCTTTGACATAGCTCCAAAAGAGAGATTTACTTAGATAATAATGCGTAACCTCTTGCACATTGACTGAACTGGCACTATTGGTACAAGTATCATGTCAGATTGTCAGAAATTATGCTGTCCACTTATGCTCTGTATCTTGTCTCCCACTCCTCCTCTTGCTTCGCCTGGTCTTCAGATGGTTTTTTTGGATTGTTTCTATTGATTACACGATGTTATATTTCTTCTGTTTATGTTCTTTCTATCCAGGGCATCACCAATGGCATCTATTACTATCCGCAATCTTGTGCTCTATACAACAAATGAGAACTGGCAGGTCATGTTCTACACTGTTTTTAACTTGATAGTTTTCTATTTATTTTGAATTAGTTGCTTTTTTAATAAATGATTATTTAGCAATTATGTGTGACAGGTTATAAACCTTAAAGCAGCGAGGGGATTTTCAAGTGACAAGAATTTCATTTATGTGTTCAAAGTAATTTTACGTACTTACCTTTTTTCCCAAATTATAACTGATGGTGTGAAATTACAAGTTTTTTCCTGTATATTCACTTCAACATTGAATATTAACTATATACATGAAAACTAAACCCAAACTCAATACGCTAAACATATTGGCCCTACTAGTATTGCATAATTACATATTACCCCTTATATTTCTACACCCCATCATGCTGGGAATTGGGGAATATATGTTCATTATTCCTAGCTTGGAACATAAGTCCTCGAAAGAAGGCTGAAGAAGAGCTTTGGTTAATAAGTCAGCCATTTGCTTATGTGAAAGAGTATGACCCACACATATTTTTGCTTCAACCTTCTCACTAATGACATGTCTGTCAATCTTTACATGTTCTATATTGTCATGGCGGTCTGGATTATTTGCAATTTATTGTCACAAAGAAGTGAGTTTCGGCCAGAGTCTGAACCTTTAATTCCTTTATCAATCTAGCAGGCCACATTCCTTTACATATACCTCGTGACATTTCTCTATATTCTGCTTAGCACTGCTTCTTGCGGCAACTGATTGTTTCTTGCTCCTCCACATGACAAGGTTGCACATACAAATGAACAATATCCAGGTGTAGATCTCCAATAAGCTAGGGATCCCGCCCAATCTGCATCAGTGAATACCTTGCTCCCTCTATCATGTCCCTTAGAGATCCCTGTCCTATGCATGGTGTACCCTTAAGGTACCTTAGAATACGATACGCTGCCTTTCTTGGATCCCAACCAACAATAATTCTCATACCCCGAGAAACGAACTCTGGTTCACAATTGCACCCACTTCCACCTTCCATATCCAGCTTAGGTTTTGTGTTCTCGCTACATTTTGGGTGTCACTAAAAGCCTAGCTTCTCAACATAATAGCATCTTAAGTCCACAACACTAGCACCTAACAGATCTAGGTTGTGTGCTCTGTAGTCTGTATTCATCATGGTATGAGTAGTGTCTTCCATTCTTGTGGTTGGCTCAATGTTATCCTTATGTTTATCACCCCCCCCCACCTACATGTGGGGCAAGTGTCTAAGAGTGTAACCATAAATCCAGTAAGTAAAGCCCTTAGAACAGTGAAAGATCTTTGGGACACATGACTGCAACCAATTTGGTTTTAGTCATTTTAGGTTCTTTTTGTTGCTACATTTATTTGTGATGGTATCTGTATACACACATGTATTGTTTTTGTAGTGATATTATTTTTTTCTCTCGAATCACCAGAAGCTTGAATGGGAGTGTCTATGTATCGATCTCCTGCCTCATCCTGATATGTTCGCAGATCCTTCTGGAGGGGCTCGTAACCGGAAAGATGATTATGGTGCAAAGCGAGTTTTCTTTGGCGGCGAGCGCTTTATTGATGGAGTATCTGGAGAGGCTTATGTAACACAATGTTAACCTGCAAACTTTGCTTTAGTGCCTGCCATTTTCATTCTATGAAACCTTGCCTTAACTCTATCCAACTTCCCTATGTTTTTATAATCAGATTACAATACAAAGGACAGATCTTAATAGTCCACTAGGTCTGGAACTTCGGTGGCATATTACAGAAGCCATCTGTCCAGCATTGAGTGAACCAGGTTGGTAGAAAATTACTTCTTCATGCATCATTCTCAGAGTTATCAAATCCTGTGTTTTGGTTGGCGTTTTTTTTACTATGATAAATAACATGAGCAGGACTTCGAGCTCTTGTTCGTTTCTTCACAGGATTATATGTTTGTCTCAACAGAAGTGATGCAAATGCTCAAGAGGTGGAAAACTTGTATTACCGTTTTGTAGTTTGCGTTAATTTTGGAGGGCTATTGTTTTGGTTGTCTAAAAAACGACCCTCTTTTCTGGCAGCCATCAGCTGAAGCTGCAGGGCGTACAATAGTCTCCTTTATGGTGGACCATATATTTCTTTGCATCAAAGATGCTGGTTCGTGCCTTCTTATATTTGTCTAATCCGTCTTTCTTTTGAAGGAAATTTGTTCTTTTTTCTTCCCTAATTTAGACAATTATATTTATATATCTGGTTAGTGCCTTCAATTATATACTAGATGTACATGACAAATTAATGGCGCTCCCTGACAACTCTTATTGACTTCCAGATTTCAAGCTAGAACTTCTAATGCAGTCACTTCTCTTTTCTCGGGTAGCTTTCCATGGCACTTAATAATCATATTAGATTGCTACATATTTATGTTTTCCCTGATCGTCATGCTGTACACTGTAATTTGTTTGCATAATGATAGTAATGCTGTGTTTCAGATGTGAATCGGGTTATATTTGATCTTGCAGACAAGCGTCTCTGATGGAGCAAGTGCCAAATTCTTGACTCAGATCATGATAGGTGGACTAATTTTACGGTATACTGTGTTAACATAAAATCGTCATATATCAGATTTATAATTGCATGCTGTTTAATATTTTGTTAGTCTCTGACTGGTGTCAGTGGCATGTGATTCCAAGCATTTGGACTCATTTTAGATGTTTTGTAGCTTTGTATAGATCTGATTATTATCAACCTTTTGTATCCGCCGGTTCGGAAATTTCTTTGTTTTATATGGAATATTTAAGTTGTACCACAGACTACAGTTGCAGAAAGAACTAGAGATATCACCAAGAAATGTCTGATCTTACTGTAGTCGCTTGATTATGAAAATTTGACAAATCCAGCATTTATTCCCTTAATGCGACTCATGCTCCCTATTTAATATCCACGGAATTTTGTTGTCACTTGAGAACCTTATCAGCGTTCATCTTCCTAAACGAGGAGCATATATTTCTGACCTCTTGTGATTATGCTGTCGTTGCATGAGGTTCCCTCTCTTAGATACTAAAGCATAAGATTATAGTTTAATACCTATTTTCTTGGTACTATAGTTATCAGACAGTAATTACTATTTTTATCTGTAATCAGTAATCAGGAGGCGACCTAGTGGTTGTTTGGTTGGTTTTCCATCGAGTCCTGTATATAAAAAGTTGTCTGTGTAGATTAACCTTTCTGCATAAATTGAGAAGATTTTTGTTTGGGAGGGTTTTCCATAGATGGAAAGGGCGTGTTTTTAATTTGGAGTGACATGTTTGGAATTTTTTTGGCTTTCTGCATAAAGCTCCCTCCTAAAAGCTTACTGAATAAGCCACTACCAAACAATCATGTATAGCTGACCGAGGAAGCTGTGAGTCCTATTAAGCTCATTAAGCTGCTAACAAACGGACCTATAATATAGGATGACTAAACAGATACGGGAATCAGAATTGTAGTCAAATCAATATAAGTAATAAACTTTGTGATCATAGCTATATATCCTAGCATTGTCAATCTATGAATCTCATACACAATGATGCTGATTAAATTCAGGGATGGTTTCTCTCGCCCACCATGCCCACTAGTGCAACCGTCGATGCAAGATGCTGCAGAGGAACTTCTACACATTCCAGATTTTGGTATGAAAACATTGCCCTGTTCATAATGTGTTGGCCGTCAATGTGAAAAGAACTACATTCCTCATTTGAAAATTTACGTCTTGCATTTTTTTACTAGGTAAAAATTTCTGCCCTCCCATATATCCACTAGGTGATAAGCAATGGAGATTAAACGACCGTGTTCCACTCATTTCCCTTCATTGTCTACGATTTATGCCCTCCCTTTCCCCACCATCGTTTACTTCACAAACTGTAATCGACTGCAAGCCTCTTACGGTACATCATTTGATATCATTATACACCATTTAACATCGTACATTCACTACAACAAAATTAATTTTATAGGACGCCTGAAATTAAGAAACGTCCTAAAAATATATTTTATAGGACAAAACCAAAAAGCATCATATCTAAAAGCGTTACAATAGGTTTATAGGACGCTTCTAGGCGTTTTAACAAGTTTTTTAGGACACTTTTAAAATGAGTGTCTTATTAACTATTTTATACGACACTATTTGAAAAAGTGTCCTTTAAGAAGATGGGTTTTATAGCACACTTCTCAAAAGTGTCCTATAAAATAACTAGTAGGACACTTTATTTAGCGTCCTAAAAAACTTGTTAAATCGCCTAGAAGCGTCCTATAAACCTAGTGTAACACTTTTTAGATAGGACGCTTTATAGTTTGGTCCTATGAACCTAAGTTCTATAAAGTATTCTATTAAGACGCTTAGACAATCTAGGCATCCTATAAAGCCAATTCTTTATAGTGATTTCACTATGTTGGTTCTGATATTCCGCCATTCTTGCCAGATTCATCTTCAAGAAGAGTCCTGTATAAGAATATCATCCTTTCTTGCTGATGGAGTTATGGTTAATCCTGGTGATATATTGCCAGATTTCTCCATCAACTCCCTCCAATTCAGTATGAAAAAATTAGATATCACTGTAACACTGGAGGCTGGGAAGCCTAACCATCCCACAAATTATGATCACCCTAAATACAACTCCTTCAGCAGAGCAAGGCTTCATCTCGACAATCTATACTTTTCTGAGTCTCCTTTTTTAAGGCTTGGGCTGCTCAATCTCGATATGGATGCTGCATGCTTCTGTATGTGGGAAGGTCAACCTATCGATGCCAGCCAGAAAAGATGGACAGCTGGATCTTCTCTCCTCGGCATGTCTCTGGAAACATGTAACAATCCGCCTGGAGTGAATTGTTCTCGCCTACCCTCTTCAGAATTCTGGAGATGTGTCGAGATGAATGGTGTTTGCATACAGGTAGCAATGGTAACTGCAGATGGAAGCCCATTAGTAAACGTTCCTCCTCCGGGAGGAGTTGTCAGAGTAGGAATTGCTTTTGAACAGTATGTGTCCAACACTTCCGTGGAGCAACTATTTTTTGTCTTAGATCTCTATGCCTATATTAATAATGTCCATGATAAAATGGCGATGGTTAGAAAAAGAAAAGGAATGAAGACAGTGAAGAATAAATCTTCTGATTCTGATAGTTTTAGCAATAGGGTTCCGGCTGATGCTGCTATTAGTCTAACGATTAAGAACCTGAAGCTAACATTTCTAGAATCTTCTTCCACAGACCTTCAGGGAAAACCGCTAGTTCAGTTTACTGGAGATGACCTGTTAATACAAGTTACACATAGAACCTTGGGCGCTGCAATGGCCACTTCATCAACTTTGCGATGGGAGAGAGTGCAAGTGGACTGTGCAGAGACCGATAGAAGTTTGACACGTGCAAATGGTTTAACGCCCGCCTTTACTGAAGATTGTTCTCTTGTTGAGAATAGCTACCCTGAGTTAAGAGCTGTCTTTTGGGTGCAGAACAGGAGGAGCTTTCAATCAAATGGCCAAGCTGTCTCCAGTCCATTTTTAAATTTAAGCATAGTGCACGTAATTCCATATAATGCACATGATATAAAGTATCATAGTTTACGTGTGTCAGCTTGTATTGCGGGTGTACGCCTTGCAGGAGGAATGAATTACAACGAAGCTTTGCTCCTCCACTTTGGAATTCTAGGGCCAGGTGGCGGCCCAGGGGCTGGACTCTCCAAAGGTTTAGAGCACTTATCTTCAGGACCTTTGTCAAAACTATTCAAAGCATCACCTCCGTTTGTCGATGAGGTGAGGGAGAGTCAAAGTAAGCTATTTTTTTTTCTATGCTAAGGTTTTTACGGTGCTTAATTACTCTCTCCATCCCAAAATAAACGTCCACAATGAAAAGGGCACACAATTTTAGAAATGTTTAACTATTACACTTTTTAATTAACCAAGAGGACAATTTCACCCTTAGTAATTGAGGGAGTAATTAATTTCTTCATCTCATAATTAAGAGTAGATTTGGAAAGTAGGCACTATGAAAGTGAATACTTATTTTGGGACAAATTAAGAGGCTGTTTGGTTGGTTTTCTGTTAAGTCGTGTATGGACAAAGATGTATGTGTGGATTAATCTGTCTATATAGATTGGGAAGGGTTTTGTTTGGGAGGGTATTTTTTATAGATGGAAGGAGCGTGTTTTCTAATTGGGAGGGACTGGTTTGGAAAAAAAACTTGGCTTTCTACATAAAGCTCCCCCTAGAAGCTTACTGAATAAGCCACTTTATATATCATTAAGCTACTATCAAACAGTCATCTATAGCTGACCGAATAAGCTGCGAGTCCCTTTAAGCTCATTAAGCTGTTAACATACAGGCCCTAAAACAGAAATGTGGACATTTATTTTAGGAAGGATGGATTATTTGATTGTTAGTGTAGTTACTTAGATTAAATCATATCTTTGTTTCTCATTTAGATGAAAGCATAGGGGATGACAAGAATGGTAGTTACTTGAATTTGGGTGCACCACATGATGTGAATATATTACTGGAACTGAAGGACTGGATATTTGCCCTGGAAGGCGCAGAGATAATGGCAGAAAGGCACAGTTTCAGTGATTCTAGCAGGGAAGAGAGATCTTGGCACACGTCTTTTGAGAGTTTTAAAGTTAGAGCAAACGGAAGCAGAGATGACACAGTGAATGGCAAAGGAAATTCGATTGGAGCACAAAACTATCCTGTTGAAGTGGTCAGGGTTAGTATTTGCTTCTTTACTTCAGCATTTGTTGTCTTATGACATCTTAGGCCTGATAAACTGGAGTGAGTTATTTTGATTCACGTGCACGCAAGAGTATGAATATGAATAATTCAAATAACATTCGTCTTGTGAATAAACGCCCAGAGGGAGGTTCAAATGGAAACGGCAAAAAATTAGGAAATTTACATAAATATTCAAAGTTGATAGGCGGTTTCACTTTTTAGCCATTTTATAACCCAAATTCACTTTTTACCCAATCCTTATCCAGAAGGCTTATCACTTATGCATATGCATAAGGAGTGGTTTTCAACAAAAATTAAAACAAAAAAGAATCCTCCTTATGCATATGCGTAAGCCTTCGGCGTAAGGATTGGCTAAAAAGTGAATTTGGGTCAGAAAATGGCTAAAAAGTGAAACCCTATTTGCTGATTGGTTATTTCAGTCAATTTCCCAAAAGATTTAGAAACAAGGGAAAAAGATCTTTTGATTTGTTACAAGGAATGTGACTAAAAAGACCCTTACAACTTTATTTTTAAAACAAAAAATATCTCTCCCCCTATTTCTTTGAAAATAGGCGAAATATAATCAAAATTGGAGCCAAACGAATTATACCAAAAAAACGAGCAATTTATTCTTTTTAATTTGGCATCCATATTGTTTTGCTTTTTTCATCCGTTTTTTCGTGTTTCCACATTTCCATCCTTTTTGCTGTTTCCATTTCTCCCTTATACACCACCTATAAGATTAGATGCTGGCAGCGGGAATGTTGAACTAAAGAAGATTATGCAACCCTCAGGGACCTTGCAATTGCATGCGCTTGCTCATTCTTGTTATGTCGGATGGTGAACTGATATCTATGGCATAAGACGGTTGTGGGTCCTTTTTATTTGTTCATTTCCTAAAATAGATCTATGCCATGCATGTTACTTGTCTAGTTAGACAAAACTAGACAACATTTCTTTTCACCTTGCTATAATTAGTTTCTTGTTGACAGTTAGAAGTAACTAGTTTAATGGCTTCAGTTAACATGTATCGTGTTACTTATTTGGGTTAGATGGTGAATGACCTCAGAGGCGGACCCAAAATTTTTTTTTGTTAGTGGTGGCACAATTTGACTATAAAAAAGTGTTTGTAGTTTTTTTTTATATTACTAGTATAGATCTATTGGTTGGTTCCTTGTTCTTATATAGATAGGAACCATGTTCGAGTCTGGTCTACATATATTTTTGAAAATACAAAAGGTATATAAAATAACACTAAAAGCTATAAAACAACAAATTTGACAAATGTTGAACTCGAACCTAGGCCTTTTGTACAAAGGCAGAAGCATTTACCATCTTAGCTAGAGACGGACCTAGAATTTTTTTGAAGTGGTGGCACCATTTGATTATCAGAAACAAATGTAGGGATATTTTTCATAAAATCATAATTGCTCTGTTGGTTAGTTCATTGCTTTTTATATGTGTGAGGTCCTGTGTTCAAGTCTTTTATTGCAATTTTTTATTTCAGAAACATACTAAATCTGAAATTAAAAGCTAAAAACTAAGAAAATGACACTAACAAGATTCGAACTCAGGTCTAGGGTGGAAGAAAAGCCTTGCAAACCAACTCTACCAAGGGAAACTTGTGCCCTCATTGTAGTTTAAAATTATATATGGTGGCACACAACAAATTAATACGGTGACACTTTTCACGACCCTATAATTTTTTACATTACAACGGAGGAACGAAGTGGTGGCCCGTGCCACCACATAAACCACGTGGGTCCGTCCCTGATCTTAGCCATTAAAATCTTGTGTTAACATTTCAATTTCAAAAACTATATGGTGGCACCCAACAAAATAATACGGTGGCACCCTTTAGAAGCGTAATTTTTTCACCTTACGACATAACTATGAAGTGGTGGCCCGTGCCACCGTATTTATCCATGTGGGTCCGCCCACATGACATCCTTCACAGGGCCGGATTTAAGAAGACCGGGGAGGGTGCACATGGTCTATCGTGCCGATGCAGTGGAAACTTTTAGGTGTCTTAGAGGTTCACCCACTTTAAATTGGTCAGTGTCAGTGCTCCATTGAGTTAACAGAAAATGATTGCAGCCTATTGTCAGTGTCATTGAATGTGGCGTGCATTATAGGTTGCAAGTTCGAATCTCTTTGGCTCTTTTTAATTATTTGGTATCAACAGTAGAAAAGGACAAAAAAAAAACTCACTTGTTTGTCATTTTTAATGAAACCGTACTTTTGATAATTAACTTCTGTTTTATTTTATATTATGCTAATTATTTTGTGCCCTGCTTGGAAATTTTTCTGTATCCCCCGATTGATAACTTTTTGCTTATGTGTGCCTTTAGGTTGGTGTTGAAGGCTTGAAGACCTTGAAGCCTCAGCGAAAGAAAAATGCACCTTCAAAAGGGGTCACACAAACCGTCGAGCCACATGAGGGGGTAGACCTCGAAGTTGAGATAGTACCTTCTGAAGATAATGGTGTCAATGGGACAATTACTTGGGGGGTGGAGGATTTGAAAATTACTTCAAAACAACCGGTGGATACACTCAACTTGTTGCCATGGTATTATCGAACACTGCTAATATATATATAGGGTGTGTATATTGATGATTGCTATTTCTGCAGATTGATGTTGTCATACGAAAGGATGAACTGCAACATGTTGCTCGTTTGTGCAAGTTGGAAATCGATTCAATGGGACGAATAGCTGTTGGGATTCTACGGTTTTTTAAGCTCGATGGACCAGTCGCTCAGCCAGCACTGGATCAATTAAGCCATCTTGGTAAGTTCTCTTTCTTTTTTTCATTTATGTATGTATGGCAATTGTGATATGCTATGAAAGAAATTAGTCAATGCATGTGTCATGCGTGATATCTGATAGGAGTTCATGGAAACGTAAGACTAGGGTGGTGGATTCAAAGTAGGGATCTGTAGCTAGTGTGGATAGGAAGTAGGGAGTTAGGGAGGGCGACGTTAGGATAGGGGGAGGTTTAGGGCGGGGG